TATATATAATTGTTTTCGGGGAAGAAGGAAGAGGGAGAGAGAGAAACATCAATGATGAGAGAGAATCATGGATGGGCTGCCTCCTGCACGCTCCCTACTGGGGCTCGAGCCCACAACCAGGGCATGTGCCCTGACCCCAGAATCCAACCGTGACCTCCTGGTTCATAGGTCCACACTCAACCGCTGAGCCACTCCACCTGGAATATGTTTGCCTTCTGTTTAAATGGATTTATTGGTCCTGAATCTGCTGTAGACTCTGGAAGCCGGGAAAATCTAATTCTAATTAGATTTTTGGCCCCAGTACCATTCGAAGCATTAAAATTTTACTCATGCTGGGTCATATATGAAGTCATCGTGCCTAGAGGAATGTAGGGTCACATTGTATTCCATAGTTTTATTTTCTCGGCGCTTTTGGGAAGATTGTTGTAAAGACTGTAATTTCCTCATATTTTGTAACCTTGTAGCAATGATAATAGTGATGCAACTTTCATGTTTTTATTAGATTTAACTCTTGCTCATTTACATGCGCACATATACTAATATAAATATATAGATTAATATAAGAAGAGCACACAGATATGTACAATATGACCTCCTTATTTTGGGAGGGGGAGAGTATCTATGTGATTAAATAAAAAAATAGAAAAGAGGCAAATTTTGGGGGTTAATAAAAAAATACCTATCTGGATGTTTGGGCAAATGTATTTGGTTTATCCACAGAATTATTTCAGTTTTTATACATAGAAACAACTGGTGTCCTAAAATTTTTGCTGAATGAATTTCATCCAAGGTGTGTCCACACAATTCCAGTATGATGAGTAGAAAGTAAAATGCTGTTTCTATTTTGTCTACACAATGCCAAGCACCCAGGCCGGCCATTGGACGGAAGCCACAGCATTGACTAGTTGCTCTGGCATCGCGGGATTGTCTGGGCGAGGCCCGCGCAGACACAGCGGCTCTCATTGTGAAAAGTGCCGAATCAATGATTCTCTCTCATCATTAATGTTTCTCTCTCTCTCTCTCTCTCTCTCTCTCTCCCCCCTCCTCCTCCTCCTCCTGCTCCTCCTTCTCCTTCTCTCCTTTCCTCTCTGAAATTAATAAAGATATAAAAAAGAAGAGCCAAAAGAAGAATAAAAAAAATATGAAGACAGTGTAAGTAAGGCAAGCATGTAAAAAAAAAAATGCCTCCGCTCTGAGCGAGCGCCAGGATCAGAGCAGGCCCACCGCTGGGCTACTCCGCACCCCGGAGGGTGGCTCTGCGGGTCAGGGTCGAGGTCTCCAGCAAACACGCTGTGGAAAACACAAGTGCGGTGCCGCTCTTGCCCTTGCGAATAAGCAGCCTGCTGTTTGTTCAGTGAGACGGGCTCATCCTGTTTTCCAGCTGCCCCTTGGATAGTATTGATCTGTTTGGGAGAACGTCTGCTGTGAATTGGCACAGACCAGTCATCAGGACTCTTGTTGGCGCCGGGGTATTTCGGGGCCGATCTGAGGAACCGAGACGCAGGTCAGCGCTGGCCCCATGTGGGCCTCCGTGGGCATCAGCAAGAGACCCACCCTGTTTCCGTGGCTGAGGCGGCAGGGCACCTGCTCAGTGACGTCACAGAAAACAGCTGCAGTCTCTGGGGCCGTTTCATCTCCTGTCGATGCTCAATATTGGGTTGGTCGATGTCTAAATGTCAAGGGCACATTTTAACATAAAAATGCCTTCTTTCATTTCTGTTGTGTGCCTCCGAGTTTGACTTCTTCTTTTCCTTTCTGCTCTGCCAAAAAAGTAAATGTAAATGATGAGAACACAATAAGACCACTTTGTAACTGATTTTCTGGGCAGCACACAAAAAGACTGCTGTTCTAGGATTGGTGCTTTTGTGTGTGTGTCAGCTTCAAAAGCTATCTTCCTTCTGAAGTTTATAAATTTAAAATATTAGCGTTTAGCCAACGATTGAATCTAGCTCCCGAGAAAGACGTGTGAGATCGTACCAAGTGGTTGCTTGAGACCAGAACTGACCTGGTTAAATTTCAGTCCTGAAAAAGTTACACACGGAAAATTGGAAAGCCATGAACCGAGTAGCTTATATTTTTTTGCCTTAAAAATTGAATGTCAAACTTTTTTGAAGTCAGGTGTTTTGCAAGGTGAATATTAAACTTTCAAATGCAGATACTCAATCTTGATTAAACAGCAG